AAGTAATTTGAAAAGATGGATTTTGAATAAAACAAGGACTGTATTACAACCACAAGTTCCCTAGATCAAAATATCACTTTAAAAAACTCAAAGTAATGTACAAAAGACAACTTCCGAGGTTTATCATTCTGCTACAATTCTATTCTGAAAAAAAATGTTGACATAGTGCAACCTGAGAATCTATGAAACATCAGGCATAAATAATGCACACAGTAGGCTTGCAAATTAGAAAATATTTTCTCCACTTTGAGAAGGAGAAAGTCTTAGGCAAGAAGCTTTCAAAACCTGTGTTCTGTGGCTTTGCTATAGCAAGATCCCATACTATGCAAATGTAAGCAATATGTATTTTTCATGCTAAGCTGAACAGAACTCAGTAAGTGGGTATCAGAACATAAGCATATAATAAGGAACCATTCAGAGCAGGAACAGCAAGCAGAGTGTGGCTGCCAAGGAAATTAATTTTTTTCTCTCTTCTTTATTAATTACGAAACACAGAGGGGATCTGTAAGGAGGAGTAAGAAGCTAATCTAACTCCACGTCACCTGTTTTTAAAACACTCACATGTTTTAATCAGAGATAGAACTCTTCAGAGGTTCTTACTTGGCTTAGATTTTGAAGTTCCTTTTAGAAAATGGAACTGGGTGCATCGTAGCATTGAAACAAGTGATACCTAGACTCCTAAATCCCCTTGAGAGAGCTGTAGAGTTAAAATACCCAGAACTACTTTCCAAATAAAAATATGTCCTGATATAGAAGAAAAAGGAGCTTGAAGAACTGTATTTCATATTAGAGAATCACCTATATAAGTAGATTAAGGTAACTGTCTTAACAAGTTCATATGAATGCTGCTCCCGATACGTCAACATTTGTGACCAATTCACTGAGCTGTGATGCAAGAGGGAAGCGATTTTGGGGAGCACCATCCTTCTCTTTGCCATCCTCCGTCCACGACACAACATTGGGTAGGTTTGACCACAACCAGTTATTTATGCCCACTACTACTGGAAGCAATAGCTGAGGTATCAGTGCTCTCCTTTAAGCAGATCAGCAGCCAACTCAGAACAA